GCTGCGCGGTCTAGGGTCCCACAAGCGGGAGCTGTCGCTCACTCCCGATCCCGCCCCGAGGCTGTCCATCACCGCCTTGTCCCTCCACTTCCTAGATCCCCCAGAGGATCACCACCTCCCATCCCTGGGGGTCACGCCCCGCCCACACACGCTGCCGCCCACCCATTGGCTCGCGCGACGCCGAGGGCGGGGCTTGCGCTCACCCTGCGCCGACTGGGTCTGCACGAAGGTCTTGATGAGTAGGTCGGTGGCCTGAGTGTAGAGTGACAGGGCGTATCGCAGAGACTGCAGGTCCGGGCTCTTCTCCAGGAAGGTCTTCTTGAGGCCCACGCCCCCCGCGTGGAAGTATTGCTGTAGGCCATCGGGTGGGAGGGTGAGGCTCCGAGGACCTGCCGCTCCTCCGCCCGACCGAGTCCCAACCTGCCATGGCTCCCAGCATGCCCTACGCTGTTCCCAGCCTCCTCTTCGGGTGCCGCTGCTCAGGGCCTGTGCACTTACAGTGCCTGCCCTTTGGCTTTGCCTAGTGAACTCCTGTGCCTTCCTCAAAACTCGCTTCCCCATGCCCTCCTCCAGAAAACCATCTGCTGCCCTTCCCTGGGCTCGCCCAGCCCCATCTTTCCTGCCTCCCCAGGCTCCACCTGGGAGCCCTGGGGATGCTGGCACTATTGAGCTGTCCGCTCCGCCCGGTGTTGCCTGGGGGGTCAGGGAGTGCCATACGTGGGACGAGTTGGTGCGGGCCCACCCGCCTCCCACCCGCCTCACCTTAATGGTGTCCAGGGCCAGTTCAACCACTGCACCGCCTCCCCCGCCTCACCTTAAAAGGGTCCAGGGCCAGTTCAACCACTGCACACTGCTTGGGGGTCAGACTTTTGGCCTCCTCTCGTACCATGTGGTCCTGGGTGGGTGGGGAGAAGGGCCAGGTGTGTGTCACCCGATTTGAAGAGCTGGACTGTGGGTGTCTCTCCGACCCCGGCACCCGGCGAGCACAGGCACACACGGGCACTCAGCGCACACTTGTCAATGAAATGACTCTCACCTTGATCACACTGTGCTTGAAACTAAGTCATTTCCCCCATACTCTGAAGCAATTGTGCCTTAAGCCCCCGAGCAGACTCTGTCATTTGACCTGCAGAGCAGGTCAGCACCCGGGCCCGTCCCCCGTGCCACCCTCAGCCCCGGCCTCACCTTGAGTTTGGAGAGCTGGCCCAGCTCCTTTGCTGCATTGAAGATCATCTGGGTTCCCTGCAGGTGACAGAAGATGGGGCTGCCATGAGGGGGGCCCTCCAACCTGGTCCCTAACTACCCCTCACACCCCGGCCCAGAGTGCCATCCTGGTTTTTGTCTGAAGGTTCTGGGCAAGGCTGTGGTTATTTCCAAGGGACAGAGGTCTGGGGTCCCCAGGAAGGGGGCACCGCCCACTGCCTCGCCCCCACGGTGACCCGGCGATGGCGGGACAGAGGGGTGGGTGGGTCGGGCTCTGTGGGACCGTGTAGGGGGACCCTGGAGAAGGTGGCAGTGGGCAGGAGCGCGGGTCAGAAGATGGGGGCTTCAGGAAATGGCCCCAGACCAACGCCCACGTGGGAGGCTCTTGGTCTCTCCTCTGAATGAAGTGCCCTCTCCTGCCCCACCCCCAGCATGGTTCCGGCTCTGACCCATCGGGTGGGCCTGGGTTCAAATCCCAGTTTGGCTGTGTTGCCCTGGGCAAATTACTTAACCTCTCTGTTTCCCCATCTAGATGGGGCCTCATGTCCATCCACTCTGTGGCTTCCTCTGTGTTCAGCTCTCCCTGTGACAGCTGCCGGGCCAAGGGGCACTGAGCGAGCCCCAGACCCGGCCTCCTCCATCACCTGGGTGGGACCTCTGCCCTGTGTCCCTGGCTGAGCGGGCGGACCCCGTATGGGGCTGTGGTCTCCTGCGGTCCCTGTTCTTACCACTGGGTGGGACCCAGGGCCGAGCGGACTCAGCCCACGAGCTCAGTGCTCCCGAGCTTGCTCGGAGGCGTCCGGCCTCGGTCCCTCCTGCACCCACCTGCGTCCGCCCCCCCTCCCGCCCCCACGAGCCAGCCACACAGAGGGGAAGAAGTGACAGACGGGGCCGACGCAGGGACCACAGGGTGCGGCTCAGGGCCAGACAGACAGTGGGGCTGGGCTTACGTCTGCGTGGCTTGGCAGTCTCGCCCTGCCCTGTGGAGAGAACCAGGCGGAGGTCAGCATCCTGGGGCCCCGCGGGGGGCCGTCCCTGCCCTCTGAGCTGGCACGGGCCCTTTCCCGAGGCTCCACCTCTCCTCCCCCAGCCTGAAAAGGTCTGGCCGGCACCGCACGTCTGGTCAGTGTGCACACCCACACCCAGGCACGCTCACACTCGGGTCAGCACAGCGCACGTGTGCAGAACGCACATGCGGAAATACAGGCAGCGCACTCGCACCTGCACGATCACACACGTACACACACAGCCTCGTCCTCCAGGAGGCACTCTCACGAGCAGAGCGCCTGGCACACTGAATGTGCCCCCTGGGGCTGGCAGCATGAGGAAGGAGCTGGACGGCCCCCCTCACAGAGCTGCAAGGTGTCTCAGTGCACGGCAAGGCGACTGCACACGGACTGCCTGGCTCCCGCTTCCTCGTGACAAACACCCCTTAGGATGGACAAAACACCTACATGAACAGCAGGGCATCCCGGCCCAGGCGAGGGACCCGGCCTGTACCCAAGGAGGGTTACAAGGTCAGGTGGGCTCAGGGCTGGAGGCTCCCAAGGGGGTTGCCAGGAGAGGGCAGAAACGGTGCACTTTCTCACATGTGCACACTTGCTCCGTGTCTTGGCCCTGAGAATCTGCTCCTCTCTGACTTCTGGCTTTGTGCAATGCAGCCAGGATGTCCCTCTGCTACCCATGAGCCCATGTGACCTTGACACACACGTGCACACCCAGAGACACACACTCACACCTGACGCCACGTTCAGGGCCTCGGCAGCTCGAGGCCTCATTACCTTTTCTAATCCCTTGCCATGCTTTCTCAAGAGGGTGCCCTGTGGAGACAATGTCACAGGGAGGTCAGCCCAGCGGGTGCGGTAGGGTCTGTGCTGCCCAGGGGTGACAGCTGTGGGGACTACAGGTGACCTAATGGCCAGGTCTTAAAGGTGTAAGACTCAAGGAGACAGGGCGGGAGAGGCCAGAGAGCCCAAGAGAATGGAGTGCAGTCACTCCCCTAACCTAACCCATTTATATTTATTGTACACAAGAAGTGCTCGGTTCTCGGGCCAGCAGGAAAGATAGCTGGCTCTGTATTGTGACAGATCAGAATCTGAGTCTTGACTCTCACATCTATGTACTGCATGGCCTTGAGAGCTGGTGGTTTTGGGCCTCAGCTTTCATCATCTACAAAGTGGAACAAGAATGTCCTGCTACTGATGGGGTTCCCACAAAGGGGACCCAAAACAGCTGCTGACAAGGCCTGTGGACATGCAACCATCTAAAAATTTGATTTTTTAAAAATTGTGATATTGGGGCTTGAAATCAGGGCCTTCACACTGAGCTATGTCCCCAGCCCTTTCTAAAATTTCAATACAGTTCTTGAGATGGTTTTGCTAGGTCCCTAAACTGCTCAGCCTGTACTCAGACTTTCCATCCTCCTGCCTCAGCCTCCCATAGTACCGGGGTTACAGGTGTGCCCCACCACACCCAGTTTAAGTCCTCTCTTTCTGCCTGCAGGGGCACTGTCTACACCGATGCTGACAGGTGGCTGAGCGTTGCACGCCCTCGCTCTCAGGTGAAGACAGCCTCATCCAGTGGCCTAGCCAGCGCCCCACCTCCGCCCTGGCCACCGAGCGTGATGCCCTGGGCGTCAGATGGTGGCTGCAAGGAACCCCGCTTTCCAGGTGAGGAAACAGATTAGGAGGCGAAGTAATTCCCAAAGGCACGAGAGAGCGCAGCTGGGCTAGGATTTGACCCCACGTCTACCTGACACCAAGGCTCCCACCTGTCCTGCGCAGGCACCTGAGATGCGAAGTCCGCGTGCACCGGGCGGGACAGAGGGCAGGAAGGAGTCTATAAGCCCGACAGGCAGGTGGTGTGGAAGCCCTGCCCGGGTGGGAGGGACCCTGGTGGCCCTGAGCAAGGGTAAAGGTGGCTTGGGCGGAGGGGAAACGGAAGGGGCGGGTCTGTGTGAAGGGGCGGGGTGTGGGTGTGTCCCGCCCTCCCCGGGCCGACCCGGACACTCAGCACAGGGAGGCAGGAGGTGGGACGGTGAGGGCAGGGTGCAGCCACGGGGCGGGCCGGGTCCAGACACAGAGCGACGGACGGGACGGACAGACAGACGGACGGACAGACGGGCCTCTACTTACGATCATCTGTCAGCGGTGGGGGCAGCGGCAGGTAGGGGGAATAAGGCACCGTGAGTGTCAGGGCAGTGGGGAGGGGGGGGGATGGCACCCAGCAGCAGGCGCCCCAGCCCTGCCCGGCCTGGCTCGGCCCTGTCCTGCCACTGCCAGGATGATGGCCTCGCCTGACCTCGCGCAGTCCTGGGAGAGCACTGACCTCTGCCGCCCCGTGACCCTGGCTGACTCCGGCGTGCTCTGCTCTGCAGATGTCTAATGCGATCTCGACACTCAAGTGTGTCCTCCCCTCCTGCCGAGCTCAGGCCTCTGGGTGGCCGTGGTCCCCAAGTCTCCTGACCCTCTTGGCCCCTTCGGTCTTCGAATAACCCCACCAGCTGACCCTTGTGACCTCGAGGTGTGAATGACGCTTTCACCCTCTGACGATCCTTTTTTGGGTTTGTTATGCTTTTCTGAGACAGGGTCTCAGTCCGTAGTTCAGGCCAGCCTTGAACTCACTGTGTAGCCCAGGCTGGCCTCAAACTCACAGGCATCCTCCTGACTCAGCCTCCCACATGCTGGGACTACAGGTGTGCGCCACCACGCGGGCTCCCCTCTGATGATCCTTGGCCCAAGAATGGCCTTGCTGCCCCATGTGAGCTCTGGCGGCTCCCATCTTTTCCCCCGGTCGCCCTCTCTGCGCCTGACGTCTCTGACTGAGCCCAGCCCGGAGGCCGTGGGGCTCACCGTCTGGTCAGTGAGGGGTGGCAGGACGATGGTCTTCTCCATGGTGTTCATGACCAGTTTCCACAGCTCCTTCAGCACCCGCTTCAGCACCGTCTTCTCGCAGATTTTGGCGAAGAGAGTCAGGCTGGGGGTGAGGGCAGGGGTGAGGGCCACACCCCCGCCCCGGGCCCTGCCCCAGCACCACCTGCTCTTCGCTCCCTTTCCCCACCCCACACGGGCTGCACGCGCATGAGCGCTCCCCGCCCTTCCGCCCGTCCCGCCCTGGAGCCCGGCGCGGCCCGGCTCACTT